ACATGGGAAATTTGTACTTGCGCTTGGCACAACTGAACGTAGCTCTGACAGTGTCAATTTTGCCCGTTGCAAAACCACATTGCAGTAAATGCCCCTGAATGCCAGTCTCGAAGGACTCCAGTTATTATGGTTTAAAAAAAGTCAGTGAAAGAGATTTACAGAAATGAGTGCAACCTTGACTGTTGAGAGCTGAGAGCTCATGCATGTGTTTCAGCATCCTTGCTCTGCTGGTGTGTAGAAGCTTGGCCACAGACTTGGCCACAAGTCTGAGCTTTTCTAAACAGATTGCAATCTTAATAGACTGACAGGCAGAGGATGTTAATTTGAATTACAGAGGAGGCTCACCGGCTTTGGTGCATTAAACAACCCACCCAAGGTTGTGCGGGGAGTGGGCTGCTGTGCCCAATATATAAGGTCAAGTGATTTTGTTGAAATCATAGGTCACCCTTAGGTTTTAGCTCAGTTGGAGGGTAATGGGTCTGATCCAGTCTTGCTTTACTGCAACTTAATGGTTATGCACTTCCACTAATATACCTGGAGTTTTAGTCTACTACCTACTGGTAGTCTTTGGAAAATACTGACATTCCTAATTGTTTAATAAATCTTCAGTGCAGCTTTTAGTGTGTGTGAGGGTATGCATATTGATTTGTGTATGAGTATTTAAGTATTAGGGGAAAAAGTAAGGCAGCTGAGAGACTCCTGCAATATCTAAGGAGAGGAACGTACAATCACGGATTATAATAAGGTATGAAGGTTTTCCACTCCTTAAAACAGAGAAGTTGACTTATTAAATTGCATGTACTCTAATGATGTGGACTGACTCAGAGAATTTGAAGGAAATAACAGCTGTGCACATCAAAGCTTAAAAATAGAAACTTCATCAGTCAGTGGCAGTTTAGAATGAATGAAGAAATCATGGAATTATTAATTATGGTGGTTAGAGAAAGGAAACGTAAAGTTCAAACTTTCTGAAAACAGAATGCTCTCTTCAGTCATGCAGCACGTCTGCTGGGTATCAGCCCCTTGTCCTGCTGAGCCGCTCTGTAAAGGTGGGGGCTGTTGCCCAAACATAGGCACCTGCTGCCATTTCAGATACCCTGCAATGACTCAGGCTTCCCACCTGGCTGACAGAGACGACACGGGGCATATGGGAGCCTCCCACCATTCTGGAGTGGCAGCTGGATGCCCCGAGGCGTCTCACATGGCAGTCGCTGCTTCTGTCTAAGGAATAATTGCATGTAGGCATAAGTACAGACTCACTTTCACTTGCATCTTTAATACGCAGTCACCTGAAGCACATCAGTAGTTCATAGCAGTGTTTGCAGTGGGTAATTGCAGAAAGCAATGAACAGTTTATCTAATTTTAAACTTGGGAAGAATTTTGAGGTGAATAGAGCATTTATCCAGATTAAAATCTGACCAGGATATAAAGTTAAAAACCATCCTAGTGTTAAAAACTGCAGTTAAAAACTATGATTTAAAGTCTCAGTGGATGGTTGTTTTCTTAATGACCTCAAATCCATGAATTCATTCTAACATTTGCCTTTTTATATATTCATAGTTAAATATAACTTGAATGTTGTCCTAATTACATTCTCATGTTAATTTCGCTCTGATTCAGAATTTCTATCATTATTCTTTGTAGAATTATTTTGAAATGATGGAAAGTTCAGTAAAGATGCTCCAGTGTGTGATTGTGCCTTTGAATTATTTATCACATTCAAAGACAGAAATATGGTTAAAATCTAGTTTGAGTTGTAAATGAGTCTTGGTAATGTAAGGAGGAAGTGAAAATCCCTTTTGCAGAACGACATGGTTTATGGGTGCATCATTTGATATTGCAGGAGTGCTTCACAGCCCCACATGAGCCTCACGGCATAGTAAGAAAACATCCATTGCACCAACTGGCAAATGCTAAGCAGATAAGACAGGTAAAGTGTGGAAGAGGAGAGAGAGAGGTACAGAGACAACTTGCCCAAATGACAGAGTAGATTAGTGACAGAATTAAGAAGAGAAAACAGATGTCCTGCCTCGGTCGCAACCAGCGCTCACACTGCACCCTCTTCTCCCTCTGCTATGTGCCATGGAAACCAAAGCTCTCACAAGCAGCATTTAGCCCCTGATTTTCACAATGCATCACAGTGACAAGTAGTACAGTGTTAATATAAGGTTGCAGAAACCATGATTAATGCAAAAATTCATACTTGTGGCTGTGGCCCTGAGCTAGGTAGAGAACAAACAATTGCTGGTGAGGTGTGTGCGAGTCTGAGAGGGCAAGAAACTGCTGGGAAAAAAAATCTAAAGGAAGAAAGGAAACTTGTCTTAATGTAAGCAGCAGTTTTGCTAGAGGTAAATGAGGGGAAATTCTTCATTTATAAATGGTTCGTTGACCCATGATAATAAAGCAGTGCTGCAGAAGAAGGATAATTATCTACTTAAGTATCAGATGCCCTAAGGGTAAAAGCTTCCCTTCTCTCCTTTTGAAAAATGAACTCAGATTAAACGAATGTCCTTTTTCCTGTTTTACTGTTGACATGGATTTCCTTTTTATGAGTAAAATTAATTAGTTTTTCTATTCTTTTATTCCTGGTATGGAAATCAGGGCTGCCAAGCAAGTTTCCAGCTCTTCCCTTGGGCCCTAAGTTCAGCCAATAGCATCCTTTATGGAGGTGCTTTGTACAGTGTGCTGGAAAGGCACAAATAAATTACAGGAGCTTTATTATGCCCAGTAGCTTTCCAAGAGGCACAGCATTTTAGAACTAAACCCCCACAAAACTAGGCTTTTTGTCCTCATCCAGGATTGGTTTATTTCCAAGTACCTGCTTTCTAAATACATATTTCTCCTTTCTTAAATTTTAATACCATAAGTTACAACAAGAGAAAAAGAGAATAGCAGTGGCATAGCTGGTGCTGTACTAAAATAAAATGAGGGACAGATTTTCAAAGCAGATTAACACCTGCAGCTGGGGCCAGTCTTCTTCTGTTCTGTTGGGAGCTGCTAACTGTGGAGCTCGCTTGAAAAATCTGCTCTGACTTTAGCAAATATCCTTTACAATCTTGTCTGCCCTCATCTGGACTCTGAAGAATTACCAACACCTGCCCCTACTTCTTTACTTCCAGAGTATGTCTGTTTTGCTGTCCAATCAGAATTATAAATATGATTCCTGTGATAAACTTGGTGAATGTAAATGTGTTGTTTCTGTGTTTATGGAAATGAATTATCTTACGCATGTATTAATCCTTTATTTCAAATGTCTCATGCAGTTCTTGAAAATCAGGTTGATCTAACCTTTGTGTGAACCTATTAACTACAGAGCATCTCCTAGTTACATTTCCTGGAGTATAGAAAATTTTTCTGAATACCTGCAGGCTTCAAGATGCAGTAGAAATAAAAATGGCTCTAATACAATGGCATGGAACTTAATTTTCTTCAAATAGTCCTTTGAACACTCGTTGTAATACTAAAAAAGAAATTTTAATTTTCATAGCCTTTGGTCACGAAAGTTCAAGTGATGTTAAAGGTGATTTTAAGGTCTTTATTCTGCAAACACAATACTGTAAGTCAGAAAAAAAATTCTGTGTGTAAATAATTTAAATGAGCATCAAGTCCCAAGTGCTTGCTTGTTGGATTTACACAACTGAGGCTCTGCTAAGAATTCTGCACCCTGTTAATAATATTACAAAATTGACTTTCAAGTGAGGAATCATAGCAATTATTAATTTCTGTGAACACAGCAGATCAGGTGACTGTGAATAGCGTCTGTGTACTTCCATTGTTTACTTTATAGCTTCATTTCACTGACTTACGAAGCACAGTTACCAAGGTAGAATAAAACCAAAGTATATTTGCAGTGTCATGAACACTGCACTTAAAAGGGAATATTCTTAATTATCTTAATGTATTTCTAAAAGCATATAATATTTATAACAGGTGAGCATTCCGTGTGAATAATAATTAATGCATGTAGAAATAAGTGATCTGCTATTTTCAGCATAGTGTCAGCTTTTTTCCACATTCAGGTATCTAAAATGAGAGGTGTAAGATCAAGATCTCCAAAAATACATACCGCATATATGGAAAAGCATTCTAAAACTGCCATCTCAGATCACACACCCAAACCCATCTTAAATTCCATTGGCTTTCCCCCATTTTTAATCACAAAAGGAAATATCTGTGTCCTGGTTTCGGCTGGGATAGAGTTAATTTTCTTCATAGTAGCTAGCATAGTGCTGTGTTTTGGATTTAGTACCAGAAGAATGTTGATAACACACTGATGTTTTTAGTTGTTGCCAAGTAGTGCTCAGACTACTCAAGGACTTCTTGAGCTTCTCCTGCTC